CCGCGGGGCGGGTGACACTCAGTGTTCGCCAACACAGGTACGGCTGCAGCTGCTTCAGCGGGAGCTGCGGGTGCTCGGCCGGGCACGGCCGCGGCTCCGCGGGCGCGGAGCGGGCACCGCCAATTCCGCCCTCGGGGGGCGCGGAGGAGGAGGAGGAGGATGGGGAGGAGGATGAGGAGGAGGGGGAGGAAGGCTCCTCGGAAATGGCGAGAAGGCGCGCAGCTCTCCGGTCCCAGAAGGAGCTTGAGCGGAGCGGTTGCGCTCCGCGGGTTTCGGCCTCTCGCGGTGAGAGGCGGCCGCGGGCTGGGGGGGGTCTCCAAAAAACCCGCTCGGGGTGGCCCCAAAAAACAGCTGCGGAAGGGGCGGAGACCCCCCGGGACACCCGGCGGGACAAGGCCGGGCTGCCCGCGCTCAGGCCACCACTGTCACCTTCCACCCGCGCCCGTGGGGACGGCGGGGACACCGGGATGGAGGTGCCACCCCCGGGACACCGAGAGCGCCGGGGGCTGCCGGGGGCTGCGGGAGGGGGGAGGGACGGGGAGGGACGGGGAGGGACGGCAGGGACAGGGTGGGGACAAGCGGGGACAAGCGGGGGGGGTCAGGGTGGCCAAGCAGAGGGGGCAGTGCCAGGCAGAGTGGCCAGGCAGGGGGTGCCAGGCTGGGCAGTGCCAGGCAGGGTGGTCAGGGTGGTCAGACAGAGTGGTCAGTGCCAAGGGTGGTCAGGCACAGTGGTCAGTGCCAGGCCGGGTGGTCAGTGCCAGGCAGGGTGGTCAGGCACAGTGGTCAGTGCCAGGCAGAGTTGCCAGGCAGGGTGGTCAGTGCCAGGCAGGGGTGGTCAGGGTGGTCAGGGTGGTCATGCAGGGTGGTCAGTGCCTGGCAGAGTGGTCACGGTGGTCAGTGCCAGGCTGGGCAGTGCCAGGCAGGGTGGTCAGTGCCAGGGAGGGGTGGTCAGGGTGGTCAGTGCCAGGCAGGGTGGTCAGGGTGGTCAAGCAGGGTGGTCAGTGCCTGCCAGGGTGGTCAGGCACAATGGTCAGTGCCAGGGAGGGTGGTCAGTGCCAGGCAGACTGGTCAGATAGAGCGGTCAGTGCCAGGCAGAGTGGTCAGACAGCGTGGTCAGTGCCAAGCAGGGTGGCCAGGCACAATGGTCAGTGCCAGGCTAGGTGGTCAGGGTGGTCAGGCAGGGCGGTCAGTCCCTGGCAGGGTGGTCAGGGTGGTCCGGCAGGGTGGTCAGTGCCAGGGAGGGTGGTCAGTGCCAGGCAGGCTGGGCAGTGCCAAGCAGGGTGGTCAGGCAGGGTGGTCAGTGCCAGGCAGGGTGGTCAGTGCCAGGGAGGGTGGTCAGTGCCAGGCAGGCTGGGCAGTGCCAAGCAGGGTGGTCAGGCAGGGTGGTCAGTGCCAGGCAGGGTGGTCAGTGCCAGGGAGGGGTGGTCAGTGCCTGGCAGACTGGTCAGATAGAGCGGTCAGTGCCAGACAGGGGTGGTCAGTGCCAAGGGTGGTCAGGCTGGGTGGTCAGTGCCAGGCAGGGGTGGTCAGGGTGGTCAGGCTGGGTGGTCAGTGCCAGGCTGGTTAGTGCCAGGCTGGGTGGTCAGTGCCAAGCAGGGTGGTCAGTGCTAGGCTGGGCAGTGCCAAGAAGGGTGGTCAGTCACAGCGGTCAGTGCCAAACAGGGTGGCCAAGCAGGGTGGTCAGTGCCAGGCAAGGTGGTCAGACAGGGTGGTCAGGGTGGTCAGTGCCAGGCCGGGCAGTGCCAGGCAGGGTGGTCAGAGTGACCAAGCAGGGTGGTCAGTGCCAGGCAGAGTGGTCAATCACAGTGGTCAGTGCCAGGCCGGGCAGTGCCAGGACGTGCCAAGGGCAGGCGGGTGGCACAGCCGGACCAGCGGTGGCCGTGCAGGGACTTGGCCAAGCCGAGCGCTCCCGGGGGGCTCCGGGGGGATCCCCGTGTCCCCACGGCGGGGACAGCCCGGTGCCAGCCGTGGGGTGGCACAGCCAAACCGGCCACGGGCGCGTCCCCACGGGGATCCCCCGGGAGAACAGCCCCGGGAAGGGACAGCCAAGGGAATTCCCGGGAATTCCCCAATCCCACAGCCGGGAAGGAGCCCGCCAGGCGACATTCCCGCGTGCGACATTCCCGCGTGCGACATTCCCGCGTGCCACATCCCCGCGTGCCACATCCCCGCGTGCGACATTCCCGCGTGCGACATCCCCGCGTGCGACATTCCCGCGTGCCACATTCCCGCGTGCGACATCCCCGCGTGCCACATTCCCGGCGGGATGCGGAGGGACCGGGAGCTCCCCGGGATGTGCGGCGGAGGGGGACGGGGACAGAGGGGACAGAGGGGACAGAGGGGACAGAGGGACAGAGGGACAGAGGGGACAGAGGGGACAGAGGGGACAGAGGGGACAGAGGGACAGAGGGGACAGAGGGACAGAGGGGACAGAGGGGGCAGGGGAGGCACAGGAGGGTGGCACGGGATTGTCTGGGATGGGAATTGGGGTGGGATTGGGGGTGGGATTTGAGATGGGATGGGATTTGGGGTGAGAGCTGGGATGGGATCTGGGATGGGATTGGGGATGGGATTTGGGGTGGGAGCTGGGATGGGATCTGGGATGGGATTTGGGATGGGATTTGGGGTGGGAGCTGGGATGGGATTTGGGATGGGAGCCAGGATGGGAGCTGGAATGCGATTTTGGGTGGGATTTGGGATGAAATCCGGGATGGGATTTGGGGTGGGATTTGGGATGGGATTGGGGGTGGGAGCTGGGATGGGATCTGGAATGGGGTCTGGAATGGGATCTGGAATGTGATTTTGGGTGGGATTTGGGATGGGATTGGGGGTGGGAGCTGGGATGGGAGGTAGGATGGGATTAGGGATAGGATCTGGAATGGGATTAGGGATGGGAGCTGGAATGGGATCTGGAATGCGATTTTGGGTGGGATTTGGGATGGGATTTGGGATGCGATTGGGGGTGGGATTTAGGATGGGATTTTGGGTGGGATCTGGGATGGGATCTGGAATGGGATTTGGGGTGGGAGCTGGGATGGGATCTGGAATGGGATTTGGGGTGGGAGCTGGGATGGGATCTGGAATGGGATTTGGGGTGGGAGCTGGGATGGGATTTGAGATGGGATTTGGGGTGGGATTTGAGATGGGATTTGGGATGGGATTGTGGTGGGATCTGGGGTGGGATTTGGGGTGGGATTGGGGTTGGGATTTGGGGTGGGATCTGGAATGGGATCTGGAATGGGATCTGGAATGTGATTTTGGGTGGGATTTGGGGTGGGATTCGAGATGGGATTTGAGGTGGGAGCTGCCAGCCCGTCCCTGTGCCCGGGGTGTCCCGGGAATGCCGGACAGACACAGCGGGAGCACGGGGGGAGGGTGGCACCGGGCGGGTGATGGCGTGGGATGGATTTGGGGACACCAATGGGATGGATTTGGGGACACAGACAGGAAGGATTTGGGGACACCAATGGGATGGATTTGGGGACACAGATGGGATGGATTTGGGGACACAGATGGGACGGATTTTGGGACACCGGTGGGATGGATTTGGGGACACAGATGGGATAGATTTAGGGACACCCGTGGGATGGATTTGGGGACACAGATGGGATGGATTTGGGGACACAGATGGGATGGATTTGGGGACACCGGTGGGATGGATTTGGGGACATTGGTGGGATGGATTTGGGGACACAGACTGGAAGGTTTTGGGGACACCAATGGGATGGATTTGGGGACACAGATGGGATGGATTTGGGGACACAGATGGGACGGATTTTGGGACACAGGTGGGATGGATTTGGGGACACCAATGGGATGGATTTGGGGACACCGGTGGGATGGATTTAGGGACACCCGTGGGATGGATTTGGGGACACAGATGGGATGGATTTGGGGACTCAGGTGGGATGGATTTGGGGACACCGGTGGGATGGATTTTGGGACATCGGTGGGAAGGATTTGGGGACACCGGTGGCACAGGGTGGGGATGGATTTTGGGGCTAAGGGTGGGATGGATTTAGAAGCACAGCTGGGAGGAATTTTGGGATTAAGGGTGGGATGGCTTTTGAGGCACAGGTGGGACAGATTTTGGGGCTAAAGGTGGGAGGGATTTTGGGGATAAAGAGTGGGATGGATTTTGGGGGATAAAGGTGGGAGGGATTTGGGGGATAGGAGGGATTTTGGGGATAGGGATGGGACGGATTTTGGGGCTAAAGGTGGGATGGATTTTGGGGTCCTGGTGGGAGGGCAGGGCTGGATTTAGGGCGCACGGGAGGGCGAATTGCAGGAGGGTGACCATGGGGGGCTGGCACAGAGCATTTGGGGGGCGAGGGTGGCACTCGGGGGGGGGGGGGACATTGGCGACATCGCGGGGGCTGCGGGGACACGGCCGAGGGGCGGGACCTGAGCTGGGGAGGGGGTCGGCATTCCCGGGGTTTGTTTTTCCCGGGATTTTTTTTATTTTTCCCGGCTCGGCGCTCACCGGGCCGGCTCCGGGTCCTTCCCCGTGCCCGGCTGGCACAGAGGGGTGGCAGCCGGACACGGGGACAGGCCACTCGCCCTCGGTGTCGCCACGGCGGGGAGGGCTCGGGGACAAGGAGGTGGCACCGGGGACCCTCCTGGGGACATCGCAGTGCCTGGCACGGGGCAGGGGACATCCCGGGGACATCCCGGTGCCCTGGCACAGGGCAGGGGACACCTCAGAGAGTTCCCGGTGCCCCGACACAGGGCAGGGGACACCCCGGGGACATCCCGGTGCCCCGACACAGGGCAGGGGACACCTCAGAGAGTTCCCGGTGCCCTGGCACGGGGCAGGGGACATCCCGGGGAGGTCCCGGTACCCCGACACAGGACAGGGGACACCCCGGGGACACCCCGGGGGAGCTCCGGGCCCTTTTCCCTGGCAAGGTCGGAAAGGTTGGGAGATGTTGAGGGTCAGGACGGAGCTCCCTGTCCTCCCCTCTTAGCACCAGAAAAGTTTATTTTTGTTTTTTTTTTAATGCCTTCCTGGGGGCCTCGGCTTTTGGGACCACCGAGCCCTCCCCTCCCGGCCAGCCGGGCACGCCCTGGTCACCCCGGCCCGGGGGACACGCGGGTGGCACTGGGGACACCTCCCCCGGGCATTGTCCCCGTGGCCACCACCACCAGCCCTGGGACCCCCCCCCCCCCCAAAATTGGGGGTCGCGACCCCCGGGGACCTCCCTGCTGTGTGCCTGGAAGACTCGGTGTGTCCCAAAACGCAAGTTTGTGGTTTTGTTTGGTTTTTTTTTTTGGCTTTTTTTTTTGCTTTTTTTGTGTGTGTGTGCGTGTGTTTTTGTGATTTCTCTGAATCTTTCACAAATCCAGAGCGTCTGAAAAGAGCTGTTTTTTGGGGGGGGGGAGGGGGGATTTTAGGGGTTTTTGTGGTGTGTTTAAAAAGACTTTTTCACATTCATTCAGTCGCTTAAAAACTCCCACGAGCCACGGGCGTCCCGGGAGCGTCTCCTCCAGTCCAGAGATAAGAATTATTTTTTTTTTTAGGAAAATCCTAACAAAAATCAGGTGGCTATAGCTCTGGAGATATAGATATATAGATATTCTCTCTTTCCAAATATAGAGCTGCTTAAAAAGATGCAAAACGAGGGATGAGCAGGATTTTGGGGTGGGGGAGAGGGAGGGGGGGGAGGATCCTGGAATTCGTTATCTCGTGGGGTTTATCAGCTGCTCTCTAGATAAATGCACGGAGATTAAATAATTTCCCATCAACGCTTTTCCCCCCACTTTGGAAAAACAAGACCCCAAGCCAAGAGAAAAATCAAACTTTTCCCACCCCCCCCGCCCCCTCCCCTCTAATTTTGCCAAAGCTTTTTTTTGTTGTTTTTGTTAGTTTTTTGTTGCTTTTTTTTTGTTTTTGCTGCGGGATTCGTCCCCCCCCACCCCCCAGGCTCCCGATATTCCCAAACATGCTTCGATCCATGCGCTCCTCGCTCCCTCTCACCCGCAGCTCAGAGTCCGGGGGGATCCGCCTGCCTGGGGGGCTCTTCTGGCACGGCCTGGCACGGCCTGGCACGGCTCGGGGTGGCACGGCCGCCGCTGGAGCCGTCCCGGCCCTTCTTCCTTTCATTCCTTCCTTCCTTTCCTCCTTTCCTTCCTTCCTTTCATTCCTTCCTCCTTTCCTTCCTTCCTTTCTCCGGGAGCGCCGCTGGAGCCGCCACCTCCGAGCCCGATGGGGACACCTGGGGGGGAGCCGGGGCCACCTCCCTGCGGGGACACCTGGGGCCACCTCTGAGCCTGCCAGGGACATCTGGAGGGACCTTGGGCCACCTCTGACCCTGCCAGGGACATCTGGGGGGGAGCCGGGGTCACCTCTGAGCCTGACAGGGACATCTGGGTGGGGATCAGGAGATGGGGACACTCCCTGCAGGGACATCTGTGACCCTGCCAGGGACATCTGGGGGGGACCCGGGGTCACCTCTGAGCCTGACAGGGACATCTGGGTGGGGATCAGGAGATGGGGACACTCCCTGCAGGGACATCTGGGGGGGACTCGGGGCCACCTCTGAGCCTGGCAGGGACATCTGGGGGGGACCCGGGGCGACCTCTGAGCCTGGCAGGGACATCTGTGACCCTGTCAGGGACACCTGGGGGGACCCGGGGCCATCTCCCATCAGGGACACCTGGAGGGTGTCAGGACCCGGGGCCACCTCTCAGCCTGGCAGGGACATCTGTGACCCTGCCAGGGACACCTGTGACTCTGCCAGGGACACCTGGAGGGTGTCAGGACCCGGGGCCACCTCCCTGCAGGGACATCTGGGGGGGATCAGGACCCGGAGCCACCTCTGAGCCTGCCAGGGACACCTGGGACTCGTCAGGACCTTGGGCCACCTCTCAGCCTGGCAGTGCCACCCAGGAGGTGCCACCCGGCGGCTCGGGGGCTCTGGGCCGTGGTCACCCCCGAGGTGCCACCACCGGTGCCACCCTGGCGGGGCACACGGAGCGATCTCCAGCCGGGCTCTCCGGGAGGACGGGAGCGAGGAGGAATTTCATGCAACATTCCTGGGCCGGGGAGCGGGCGGGAGCCGGGGGGCGGCTCCGCACCCTCAGTGCAGCGCTCGGAGAAAGGAGAAGGAGAATCCCAGTGGGTTTTCTTGGCTTGGGAATGCCGGCCCGCCCTTCCCACGGCGGCTGGGGACGCGGTCAGCTGTCCACCAGCTGCTTCAGCGCCCGCTCGATGTTCATGCGGTGCCCAACGCGGGTCACCCCCAACTCCACGAAGTCCTCCTTGGTCAGGGCGGGCAGGTGGGTGCCCTCGATCTCGTGGTCCTCGAACTTGTCCCGGTGCTCCACCAGGTTGATGCTCTCCAGCCAGTCCCCCACGTCGTACTTGTTCCACAGGTGCAGCGGCTTCTGCATGAAGGGCCTGGGCGGGTGCAGCGTGTGCAGCGGTGGCCCCGGTGACGGTGACGGTGACGGGGAGCGGCTGCGGGCGCTGACGCTGCGGACCACGAAGCGGACTTCCTTGGGCTCGTGGGGGATGGAGAGGCTGGAGGATTTGAGGATGGTGGGGGGCGTCAGGCCGTAGGGCCGGACGGTGCTGAGGGGCTCCGGCCGCTCCAGCGCCGCGGGTTTGACGGGGCTGGGCGTGCGGCGGGTGACGGGGTAGCGGCTGCCGGGCCGCACGGTGAAGGTGGTGCCGGAGCTGCGCTGGGAAATGGTGCTGAGCTCGCCTAAACTACTGAAAAGTCTGCGGAGAGAGCGGGGAGGCGGGGAGAGAAGAGAGGAGAGGGAAGGGGTGAGGCCAAGGTTTGGGAATGGGGGCGCGAATCCAGCGGGATTGGGGTGTGGGGTAGGGTGGGGACGCGGATCGGGTGGGATATCCCCAAGATTCCGGCAGCGCCTCCAGGATGGGGATTCCCGGCTGGTCCTGCCCTCCTGGCACGGCTCTGTGCCCCCGCCGATGTCCCCTGGCCCTGGGGACAAGGACTTTGTCCTGCCTCATCCCGCCCCGTGCTGATCCCACGTGGAATGGGAGCGACCCCGTGGAGAAAAACTGGGATAAGAGGGAACCTTCCGGCGTTTTCCCGGCATGGCAGGACCCTCTGGACACCCTGGTGGCGGTCACCTGGTGGTCAGCGTGGCGTGAGGAGCCCGGGGGTGGCCGGGCCGGTGTCCCCTTGGCACTGGGATGTGTGGGACCCCCTGGCTGTGCCACCGTGGGAATCTTGGATGGGGACAAAGCTCCTCAAAGCGGTGCTGTCCCCTCGGCATTGTCCCCATCCTGCCATTGTCCCCGTGGAATGGGAAAGGAAAGGGATCTGACACCCGCGGGAATCCTGGAAAATCAGAGTCCTCTGCTCTGGAGAGGCTGGGAGAGCTGGGAATGTTCCCCTGGAGAAGGGAAAGATCCAGGGAGAGCTTCCAGCACATTCCAGGGCCTGAAGGGGCTCCAGGAGAGCTTCAGAGGGACTGGGGACAAGGCCTGCAGGGACAGGACACAGGGAATGGCTCCCACTGCCAGAGGACAGCCATGGATGGGAGATTGGGAATGAGGAATTCCTGGCTGGGCTGGGATTGCCAGAGCAGCTGGGGCTGCCCCTGGATCCCTGAAATGCCCAAGGAAAGGCTGGACACTGGGGCTGGAGCAGCCTGGGACAGTGGGAGGTGGCACTGGAGGGGCTCTGAGGTCCATCCCATCCCATCCCTGCCGCTCCACTTGTCCTCACAACTATCCCATAAAATTCCCACATCCCAGTGCCTCAGTTTCCCTGCCACTGCCTGGCTCGGCCTCCCATCTCAGCTCCCTCCTGGAAAACCGGGACACTCTGGAATGCTGATGGGCTCCACCGCTGCCTTGAACGCCCCCTCCTGATTTTGGGAATGTTGATGAGCTCCAAGGATCCCATAAATCCACGGCTCCGAAGGGATGAGCTGAGCGTGGCTGAGGATCTGCAGGACGAGCCGCATTCCCAATAATTCCCATTTTTGAGCTGCATTCCCAATAATTCCCATTTTTGAGCCGCATTCCTGATAAATCCTCTTTTTCAGCTTCCCTGGCATGGCAGAGAAGGAATCATCTTCGGGAAGCTCTGACAGGGAAAAGCTGGATGTCCGCGAGGAATGAGACACGGAATGGGAATGTGGGGATGTGGTTGTGTCCCACTGGGATCTGGGATAGGAAGTTCTGGATCTGCTGGAACACCCCGGGAGGGGCAGCTGGGAAGGACCAGCCATGGAAAAGCCGAAGGATCCGGGTGTTCCTCCCAAACCTGTGGATGTGCCGATCTGGCTGCCGATTCCCGCTGGGAATTCCAGGCAGTCCGTTTTCCCGCACGGATCCACAGCTGGATCCCATCCACGCCCCGGATTCCGACCCCACAAATCCCACCTGGGGCAGCTCCCGAGCCAGGATCGTTCCTGGGATCGCTGGGATCATTCCTGGAATTATTTGGATTGTTCCTGGGGTCATTCCTGGGGCCACTGGGATCATTCCTGAAATTATTTGGATTGTTCCTGGGGTCATTCCTGGGTCCGCTGGGATTGTTCCTGGAATTATTTGGATTGTTCCTGGGGTCACTGGGATTGTTCCTGGAATTATTTGGATTGTTCCTGGAGTCGCTGGGATCATTCCTGAAATTATTTGGATTGTTCCTGGGGTCGCTGGGATCATTCCTGGAATTATTTGGATTGTTCCTGGGGTCGCTGGGATCATTCCTGGAATTATTTGGATTGTTCCTGGAGTCGCTGGGATTGTTCCTGGGATCATTTGGATAATTCCTGGGATCGTTCCTGGCATTGCTGGGATTGTTCCTGGGGTCACTGGGATCATTCCTGGGATTATTTGGATCATTCCTGGAATCATTTGGATCTTCCCAGGATTCCTGGGATCGTTCCTGGTGTTGCTGGGATCATTCCTGGGATGGTTTGGATCATTCCCAGGATGACTGGGAATATTCCTGGGATCATTTGGATCGTTCCTGGGATTGTTCCTGGGATCGTTTGGATCGTTCCTGGGATGGCTGGGATCACTCCTGGAATTGTTTGGATCGTTCCTGGGATGGTTGGGATCACTCCTGGAATTGTTTGGATCGTTCCTGGGATGGTTGGGATCACTCCTGGAATTGTTTGGATCGTTCCTGGGATGGTTGGGATCACTCCTGGGATCGTTTGGATCATTCCTGGGATCGTTTGGATCATTCCTGGGATCGTTTGGATCATTCCTGGGATGGCTGGGATCACTCCTGGAATTGTTTGGATCGTTCCTGGGATGGTTGGGATCACCCCTGGGATCGTTTGGATTGTTCCCTGTTCCTTGGCGAGGCTCCGGTGTTCCGTGCCAGCCCTCAAACCCTTGGAGTTGTCTCCCGCGATTCCCAGGGCGCTTCCAAAGGGGCTGTGACCACGCCCACCTTCCTCTGGCCTAGGCATGGACTTGTTCCCAACCTTCCCATGGATCTTCCTCCGAATCTTCTCCCAGTCTTCCTGTGGACACTTTCCCAGTCTTCCTACGGATCTTCCATACAATCGTCCTATGGATCTTCCCGACTTTCCTATGGACATTTCCTGACCTCCTCATGGATCTTCCTGTGACCTCCTACAGATCTCCTCTGACCTTCCGGTGGGGTTTTCCCAACATTTCCACGGACCTTTTCCCAGCCTTTCTATGGATCTTCCTCTGACCTTCCCATGGATCTTCCTGTGAGATCTTCCTTCCAATGGATCCTACAGATCCTTCTTTCTTTTGATGGATCTTCTCCAAAACTGATCCTGACCCTAACCCTGACCCTGATCCTGACCCTAACCATGATCCCGACCCTGACCCTAATCCAAACCCTGATCCTGACCCTGACCATGATCCCGACCCTGTCCCTAATCCTAACCCTGATCCTGACCCTAACCCTGATCCTGACCCTGACCCTAATCCAAACCCTGATCCTGACCCTAACCCCGATCCTGACCCTGATCCTGACCCTAACCATGATCCCGACCCCGTCCCTAATCCAAACCCTGATCCCAGCCTTGACTCTGCCCCTAATCCTGCCCCTAACCCTGATCCTGATACTGACTCTGATTTTAACCCTGAACCCGACCCTAAACTTAACCTTAACCTTGATCCTAGCCCTGACCCCAAATTAACCTCAGCCCTGATCCTGATTTTGATCCTGGTCCTAACCCTAAACCTGACCTGGACTTTCACCCTGATCCTAAACTCGATCCTAATCCTGATCCCAGTTCACAGGTGATCCCAACCCTGATCTGGATCTCGATCCCAATCCTAACCCTGATCTGGATCTTGATCCCAATCCTAATCCTAACCCTGATCTGGATCCTGATCCCCATCCTAATCCTAACCCTGATCTGGATCCCGATCCCAATCCTAATCCTAACCTTGATCCAGACCCCAATCCCAACCCTGATCCTGATTCCAGTCCTCACCCTGACTTTTCCTGGGAGCTGGGACATGGAATCTGGGAGTGGGACATGGAATCTGGGAATGGGGCAGGGATACTGGGAATGGGGCAGGGATACTGGGAGCCGGGGCAGGGATACTGGGAGCCGGGGCAGGGATACTGGGAATGGGGCAGGGATACTGGGCGAGGATCGAACGCTGTCCGAAGTTTTCCCGATCCTGGTCACTCCGTGGATGGGATGTGGCCATCCCAAAGGATCTGGGATTGGGTGTGGGAGCAGGAAATGGAATTCCCGCTGTCCTGGACCCGGCAGCTGTGGGATGAGCCTTGGGATGAGCCCAGGGAGGAAACTCGGGATGAGCCTGGGAGGAATCTTGGGATGAAGCCCTGGGAACAGCACTGGGAAGAATCTTGGGATAAAACTTGGGAAGAGGATGAGCCCTGGGAGGAACCTCAGGATGAGGACTGGGAAGAGGACTGGGAGGAATCTTGGGATAAACTCAAGGAGGAATCTCGGGATGAGCCCTGGGATAAGCCCTGGATTGATCCATAGGATGATCCAAGTGCCCCCAGTGCCTACACAGGGGATGTTCCCCCCAGGTGCCGCCCAAATATCCCAAATTTCCGTGACACCGGTGCCAGGATTGAGGGGATGAATCCATGGCTGGATCCGATGGGATGAGCCCCCCACGGCCGAGAGGAGCCTCCGGAACGACCCCGCTCCAGCTGATCCCGGAAAGATCCGGAGCAGGCTGGGACTTCCGAGCATCCCACGCCTCCGCCCCACCCGGGAGCAGAGCAAATCCCCGGGAATGGCATCCAGCAGCCGTCGGGAAAGCGGGAACGCGGCCCCCGGCATTCCCGGAGCGTCGGGATCCGGCTCCGCTCTCCCGGGATGGGCCCGAGGCCTCGGGAATTCAGCGCTTGGCAGAAAAGGACAAGGAAAAATCAACCGGGAACGGCTCCGGGAGCTGGGACACGGATGGAGCCGGAGCTCCGCACACGGAACGGGACACGAGGACGGGACACGGGGACAACACGGAGGAAGCACAACCAGGAGCACAGAGCCGGCCATGCACGCTGGGAAATTCCCAGGGGGAATTCTCCGGCCCTCCCAATCCCATGGGTTGCCCCTTCCCATCCCAAAGGAGCTGGAGTGGGAACAACTTTTCCCTGGATCCCGCTGCTGTCCCATCCCAGCCTGGAGAGTGCTCCCGGCTCAGGAAGGGATTCCAGCGGCTCTGGAAGCCGCTGGGATATCCTGGAATGATTGCTGCCAGAAGGGGAATCCCTGGATCCCGGTTTTCCTGCTCTGGCCTCGGGTGATTTCCCTGAG